AAGAGTATTTTTGACAATTTCTTTTATTTGCTCATTCGGTGTCATTGAAATCGGTAAGTTTTCACGATAGAACCAGTTTCTGTCAGATTTATATATTTTAGCAAGGTCGTAAAAGCTTTTGTTGTTTCTTCTGACTAAATGCAACATAACCATATCTCTGTCTTCTTCATTCTCCAACTCTTCAGTATAAATCATATACTTATAGTTCTTTTCCTTTCCTTTTGGTACTGAACGTGGTATTCTTTTCTGTATGCTTTTGTCTTTGGATTCAATGACTTCATCTTTTGCTTGAAGTTTATTTTCCATCTCTTCACGTTCTTGTCTGTGAATTTCGTCAAGAAGTCTGTAAATATTCCAAGCATAACGAGGTGAAGCCCACATTGCTACAGCATTTACGAGAAGTCTATGAACATAATATCCTCTCAAACCGTTTGGCAATTTTTCACGATTTTCATAGAGTTTTGACGACCAGGGTTTTTTCCCTACTCGCTGTTCTTCACTGTTTTCAGAAAAAAGTATGTCTCGCTGTGCTTCATTTAATAGTTCAATAGTGCTTTGGTTCCTAAACCAGTCTTTAGGAAGCTTAGTATCTGGAGCATAACATGCTGTCAAAATACTTTGCATTTGGTACATATCATCTTTGACTGAACGAATGAGACGTAACTGTTTGTTATACTGTATGTACTCGTATTCTTCATTAATGGCTTCATGAACGATAGCAGTTGTTGTGTTCTCTGATGTTGACATTACCGTCTTTACATACAAAATAAAAAAATAAATAAAAATAAAACTAACTTTATTTTCTGACTTTCACAAAAGACCAAAAATAAACGCTTTACATGTATTTTTCAGCAACTTCGTCAAATTTTATTAAAAATTAGCGTTATTTTTTCTGTGTTAAACACTATTTCTTCACAACATTAAATTTTATCCTGTATGAAATGACTTTAAAAAGATTATTGACTGACTTCGAATACTATCTCATTGACGCACTGACAGACCCTCAAAACTGTGTTGAAAGTTCTTTAAGCTTTAAGATTGAAGGTACGACGCATTTTGTCTTCACTTACGTATTGAAAGAATATGACCGTTATCATAACGAAGTGAATCAAACACTAATAAAATTTGTAGATAAAAAATTGGTTAACAATGAATATTTTAAACGTGAAGACCCAAACACTGCTGGAGATGATGAAGAATACAGACAAGTTATTGAAAAAAATAACGCAAGATTAGATGCAATAGAAAAGAAGTTTAATGAATGTCTTACAAACACGTATGAATATCTTATGCAGTGGGAAGCCAGATGGAAATAAATTTACGTCAAATATGCAATTTATAAAATCTTATGTCGACAGGCTACGTAGCACAGTGGTCTAAGGTGGTGTTATGGAGGGGTCAGGGTCTGTGGTTCGAACCGCGACGGCGCCGTATTTTCTTATTTTCTTTGTTTGTCTTGTTTGTCGTGAATAAAAAGTGTCATAAAAGTGCTCTATCTTCCACGGGAATAAATAAAAAATTTACTTTATTTCTTCTTTATTTCTTTGTTCCCGTGGAAGAAGGGTTTTGCTGTTTTTTCTCAGCCGAAATCAATGATTTTTTCATTTTTGGAATCCTTAGCGAATGAGGAATCTTTTCTCTCGTGGAAGCTTTGACCTAAAATAAATGGTACCATTAATAATACATGACTGTTCTCATTCATGTCTGATTTACATCTAATGAAAAAGTTTAGAAGAATTTTCTTATTCTTTCTGGCATATTTTTGTCTTTCCAGTACTCCCGCTCTAATGGTCCCAGATGTGTTGGCTTCGACTCTCTCAAGTTCTTAGATGGTATAACATCTTCAACGCCTCCTTCATATCTTACTTTATAAGTGTCATCGTTTGTGTTATAGCCAAGTATTTCAATAAGCACTCCTCGCTTTGCTTCGTCAATGGTTTCAGCAAGTTTGCCATTACTACTTTCGACTAATTTATGACGAGGGTAAAATGCTATGGAGTCGTCAGCAGCTTTTATAAGATATCCATTACCTTGCGTAGAGTCTACGATATAATAATTTCGACTTAACCTTAAACGTTTCTTTGTCAACGGTTTGTCGTCAAGAACTACACGAACTTTTGTTCCAGGAATGAGAGTAAATTGTGTTGAATTTCTGATATTTTGTGTTTGACTTCGTTTCTTTTGTATATACTTTTCTTCTTGTTGTTGTGTCATTGAATTTGGTGTATGTCCTGTTGTAGAATGTGTTGAGGAATTGTAAACTTCGATGAAATGTTTCATTGTTTCTTCGGTAAAGTCTCGCTCTTGATTTAAATCTCTGAGAGTCCTTATGAAGCGGTTAATGATACCGAGTATGTTATGGTTATGGTCTTCAGTAGTGTAGTGAGTTATGTTATGCTTAATGAGAAATTCTGTGATTTCGTTGCTGAGGTATGCACTGTCTTGGTCTGATGTTAAAGTACTTGGGCTATGTTCTGCTACAAACTTTTGTAAAACTCTTAACACTTCACGAGTTCCTTTATTTTTCATTATATACGCAAAAGCTTTGCGAGTGTTAACATTTATGAAGATGAGGAATGGTTTATGTCCTCCTTTTCTGCTTTGAATGAGAGTGTCAAATTGATATGCGTCAGGAGTGTTGGAGTAAATTGGTAAAAAGTAGTCGTAAGGGTTTATTTTTGTTTGATGTACAACATTTTTGTCAAAGAACCTTTTCACTTCAGCTCTGTTAGTAAATCCCCAACTCTTTGCAGCTTCATTGAATTTCTTAAATGACCTCCATGGATGTTGTTCGAATACTTCTTTCAAGCTCATTTATGTAAAGTTAAAGATTTTATTCAAGACGGTAAGCCCGCAAAGCAGGCTCAAGCGCGTTCATTGAACGCGGTACCATGCAAATACAGTCACAAATGGTGGCATGTAATCTTTACCCGAGCCTGTTGGATTTGTTGTGAAAGTATGGGCATGATTTCCTGCGGTTCCACAGAAAATACCTGCGCTTGAATCTACTGGGTCACTTGAAATATCATATCTATGCATTCCCTGTCTATCCGAACCTGCTGCAAGATTTGTATAACCTCTTTTTGTTATTGAATGTGAATGACTACCTGTTGTGTTTGTAGTTCCTGTATGAGTGTGCGGTGGAAGGTTTGCTTCAGTAATTTTCTTCGAACCTCCTGTTTGCTTTGAAGAGTTCGCACAGTATAAGAATTTATCTACAATCTGCTCCCACGTACCGAAACCCAGAACTGTTGCTGGATTTATTGAGTTCATTGACGTATAAATAGAGCCTGCAGGATATAATGTTTGAAGTATTTCAGTCTTTAATGTTTGAAGCTCTGTTTTGTCAGCCTTCTTGTCATATAAATCTTGAGCAGTGAATTTAATATTATGTTCATCCTTCATGACATAAACATCTTTACATCTAATGTTTCTCATCGTCGTTATGTCGTCATCCGATGTTAAACCTTGTGGAAAGTTAGGAGGTTTACAATATAATGCATCCCCACCAGTTTCTTCAACCGTTCCTTCAATACTTTCTATAGCAACAGTTGTAAAACTTGTATGTGTATGAGTCTTATTTGCTTTTTTATCTAACATTGCTGGTAGTTCATGTGTTTCAAAGTTTCTGACATGACCTTCGATATTCATACATTTGTTATTTAAGGAGTTTAGTGTATCTTTTACGCTTGTACTTGGATTCTCTAAAGGTGCACTTGAACCAAGGGTATAGTTCAATATTATGTCGTCTGCTCTAACAGTTGAGAAGGAGTTATGTGTATGATTTTTGTCGGCTTTACTGTCTAATGTAGCTTGAAGTTCATTTATATCGGAGATGTTGTGTTTATGAGATTTCAAAACTTTGTTCATTGCTTCGAGTTCAACTTTGTCAGCTTTACTTTTAATAGCATCTTCAAACGTTATTTTTGACTTAACTCTCAAAGTAAATCTTGGTTCAACTAATACACCTTTAACAGAGAAAGTAGAGGCATAAATTTCATCGTTATAACTAAATGCTTCTGGTGCTTTACCCGTGTCATACTGTACAGTACAGCTTATGTCATAACCTTTAGCACGAATGTATTTATATCTTCTTTCATTGGGGTCTTCCGTCTTCACTTCTTCAGTTCGTGTTAAATATCCATGGTAGTCCGTTATAATCTGTTCGTCTGAAGTTATATAATGAACGTGGTTTTTATCTGCTTTTTCGGCTAATTTCTCTTCTATCTCATTTATTTCAAGTTCATGCCTACCACCACCTCCCGAAGAAGTATTTTTCTTCAGCTCTTGAAGAACGTCCACTTCGCCATCTTTGGTGTCAATAATGAGACTTTGAGTTAAAACCTTTCCTGTCTTAATGGATGTTTGTAAAACTTCTTCTTCACCGTGTTCGGGGTCATGGTCGTCGTCATATCTTGTGAAATCAGAGATGTTGTCATACATTAAGCATATCTGTCTCAAAAGTTCTGCTATTTGGAATTGGAACGAAAGATATACAGAACTTTCATCATCTCCTAAAGTCAAGTCTGCTTTCTTAAGTATTTCTTGAATGTATGCAATGAGAACAGAGTACCTTGGAAAATATTCGAACAATATTTCATTAGCTGTTGGTTTTGGTGGTTCTTCTGGAGTTTCTGTTGTTTCAGTTCCTTCTGGAGTTTCTGTTGGAGTTTCTGCATCTCTTGACTTCAATGCTCTTGCTCTCAAAGACCTAAATGTTAGAGCACCGGGTTTTACAAAGGACTTTATAAATGCTTTAATAGTTCCTGGTAAGTTATTGTTAGCATTAAGTAAGTTCCTTATGCTTCCATCATGTACGTCCATAGCACTATGTAAAAAATCTATACTTTTCTTGTAGTCAGCAATAGACTGACTGTGATTTTTTAAAGATTTGTCAATACCTTTAAGCCAATCTTCATGCATGTCTGATACTGAGCCAAGAATATCATTTGCTTCCTTTAGTGTATTTTGTGCTTGTCGTAAAGTATCCAATCCCGTACGTGCATTGTTTGCTATACGTCTTACAGTATCTATTTGACTCCTTGTTTCTTGCATCCAACCAGATAAAGTTTTAATAGTATCCGAACCATTTGAAATGAAGTTCAAAGCATTTTTAACGTCATTTAAAGCTTCTTCACCAAGTACTGCCCATATCTTTCCGATTTGGTATTGAAGAACTCCATATGAAGCAGCTGTTAAACCAGTATTTATAAGGTCCCATATCCATGATTTAGCAGTTTTTCCATCCTTTCCATCCTTTCCATCCAAACCGTTTTCGCCTTGAGGTCCTTGTATTCCTTGAGGTCCTTGTATTCCTTGAGGTCCTTGTATTCCTTGTGGTCCGGTGTCACCCTTCTCTCCTTTCAGTTCATCTTTATGTTCGTTATAATATTCTAATGTCATAAGGTGTACATCATTACTGCTACCAGCAACTCCTAATATTTGTTTCTCATTCATGACTAAATTCTTTAGGCATTTAATGTTGTCGTCAAATCGAAAGCTCTTTAACAATTCAATGAGAACATTCAGTACTTTCACTAATGAGGCATCTACTGTAGAATTTATATATTGCACCGTTCCATCATTTATGATAGGAACTTTACTTATTGTAATGAATGGGTCATAAGTGTTAAAAGTATCGAAATCAATGACTTTTTTAGTTTTTCCATCGTCAATGACTAAATCATTGCCTTCAATGGTTAAAGTTGAGTTTTCGTTTACTAGTTCATGTGCTCTTCTTGCTTCATTTGTTTCATACGCATATGCAGCAATAGTCATATTTTAATGAGAATAAAATGTTGTTCTATTTGCAAAGTACTGACCCAAACGAATACGGAACAGTAAAGCTACAAACAAACTTAGGTCTTCAGAATGAAGCACTTGCTTTCAGAGTTGTTGACTTTAATACTATCGCAACTTTTGTCATAACAGATGAAACAGATTTCATAGAGTTTGAAATAGATGGAAAGAAGCATGAAATAAGATTTCACAATAATGTAGAATATAAGATGGAAACATTAGCTGGAGTGTTAAATGCGCTCATAAATACTACAATAAACAAGGAGAACGAAGAAAACTTAATGAATGTTAAACTTATTGCAGGAGTTTTGAAGTTCAGTTATGCGAAGGAGTTTAAGATAACACGAATGAGTCATAGAGTTCAATTGCTTCTGGGAGCATACCATATGACATTTCCTTTGAAAAGTGTTGACAAAACGATTGAGATGAAATCTGTTCCATATGTATGTTATGGTAATTGTTTGTACGTTGAGTCAAAAATAGCTAATGTCACAGGTATTTCAGGAGTTAATAGTAAAGGTTCAGTAGAATATAAGTCTTTCTGTTATGAAGTAAATTCAATGTTCATTCCAAACGTTCCTGTCATAGCAACTCATTTAGGTAAATGGGTTCGCATTAGTCCTCATAATTTGAAAGACATGCAATTCAGACTTGTTGACTTTCAAGGAGAGCCTGTAGAACTGAAGGCACCAGTGCGAATGACTGTTGAAGTTGACTTTTTAGAAAATATTAAATGCAACAGCTTACAAGAGAACTCAGAGCTAAAAATATAAAGTATGAATGTTATGTATTAGGTCATGAACTTTGGTTGTTGCTGTTTGATGAAACAAATGAGTTAGTTATGTCAGTCAAGAGAACAGAAAAAGGCGTCAAAGGCGCCGAGCGCAAAGCGCTATATTGTGTTAGTGAAAACTGCACCAAGTCAATAAGATTAGGTTTGCATTATGAAGATGAGTTCGATACTGTTGAAGATGTTTTGGACAGATATTACAAATTGCTAACTTGAATTTTTTTGACTGACGGCGCAAAGCGCCAAGATGGGCTCAAAGAGCCCTCCTGACTGCTTTAATTTACTAAACATATTTCAAGCAAAGCTTATAGTAAGTAGATAGTTTTGTATACTCGTTCGAATATTTATACTTAAACTCAACTCCTGTAGTTCCTGGTGTTTCAATGATGCGGATGTTACCTATTTTCATGAATAGTGGAGTTTGACCACAGCATTCGATTTCAGGGTCGAGATAGTCAATGACACATTGTTTCCCTGTTATTCGTGAGATAACATTTTCAAGGTCCTCCTTTGTTAGAATTATTTGGTTCTTGCTTATAAGATTTGTCAAAAGCTTCTTATCGTCTTTGAGTAAAATTGTTTGGTATAACTGAAGAAGGTAATGGTCTACGTTATCTGAAGGATTTGTTTGAACATTTGTGTAAGGGTTGTCGTTGGCTTCTCTTGAAAGAATTTGGTCCAGTGGTGGATACTCTAACTTAACATCTGATGTAGCGTTAGCATTTGAAGCTGTGTTTAAATTCACGGATTTCAGTTCTGGTTCTTTTTCTTTCAAACACTCTGAACTATAGTTCTTTATGACAATATTGTTTGTCGTTCGTGAGTCAACATTTGATGTTGGTTCAATTGGAACATTAACGGCACCAGCTAAGATGGATTTGCTTCTCATTTCATATAGAATAAAAACCTTTTATATGTATGAAATGAACAATATACTCGACAAGGGTTTGAATGTAAAGCTAACGAATGAAAATATTGTTGAATTCACTGAGACAGGAGCTGTGTATAAAGATGTAGAACTACTGAACAAAAGAGCTAAGGGAAGAAGCAGGAACATGAACAAAGGGTGGAAGCCTATAAAAATTTATGTCAATGATGGCTCAGGAGGTTCAAACATAAAGTATGCAGAAAGTTATAGAGTTTATGCGCTAAAAGGTGAAAAGCCTTCATTTAAGAACAGCTATTCTAACGCATATCCTCAAAAGTTAACGGATGGGGAAGTGGATGATATGAATGACAGCAAAAATATTAACAGAAATGGCGACAGAGATGCATGGAATTTGTTTACCATCAGTCAATTGAAGGTTAAACTTTAAAACAATGTTGGTCGTTCCCATGGAATATTTTTGACTTTAATGGTATTAGTCATGATATGAATCTCAAGGTATGAACGAGGAGAGATGAGAGACTTATATGCTTCCCAAATTTCTTCAAAAGGTAATGTTATACCTGACTGTTTCCAAATGAGTTCAATATCATAGCGTGAGAAACCTTGAAAGATAACGAAGTCAGTTATGAGACGTTTTATGTTTAAAGCAAGAAAACGCCATGTTTGCATAAGTATTGCTACAGTTAAATGGTAATGTCTGACTTTAGTTATGATGTTAGCTAATGGTGAGTCAGGCTTTGAAACTAAACCTTTTCCGGCGAAGTCGTCGCAAACTAACAAAGTATTTGAAGGATATTTTTTGAAGGGGTATTTTGAAAGTTTTGACAGAATGTAGTTTGTAAGTCGTTTCATATCGTAAACTCCTGAGTACTGACGTAAGTGGTGTTTGTCAATAATTCTTTCCATCTCTCAGAAGTCTTTTGCATTCCTGACTGTATAAATTCAACGATGGCATAATATTTCCTCTTACGTCGAATGTAACGTTGAAGAAATTCAATGAGTTCACTGTCTGGAACTTTAACGACAGAGGCTTGAACTTTTGACATAAATGTTTTCGCTGTTGAGTCCATAGAGTCTGAAGTTGCTGATATAATGATTTGGTCATAATATGAGTCATTTCCTAAACGTTCTGTTATGAGTATATGACGAATGAGGTTAAATGTCTTACCTGAACCCATCTTTCCACAATAGAAATACACACCATTTGAACAGAACTCATAGTCCTTACTGAAAGGAAGAATGAGAGAACTGTTGAGCTTTTCACTGCTTTCATTCATGTCTTCATCTACGTCATGTATTAAATGCTTCATTTTATCTTCATTAAAAATGCAAGTCAGAAATATTCAGAACATAGCACCGAGTCTAACTGACAAGAGTATAAAGATATACTATGAACACGTTATGATGAAACCTACCAAAATTCAAGAAAGTCAGTATACTTATGAATATCCAAGACACTGGGTAGAGTATGTAGGAGGTGAGAAAGCTATTGAAATAAGACAAGTTAGAAGTATTCCAGCAGGAAGAACAATATTATTGAAGAACTTTAATGTTTTGAGTATAATGATGAAACAAAGAAGCAAGATAGTTTTCCTGTTGCTGTGTATGTGAACTTAGATACAGGAGATGACATGAAAGTTTTTAATACAAAGCTTCAAACGGTAGTGAGAGAACAACTGACTGCGGAAGGACATCCATTACCTTCAGAAGTTACCATAGCATATAATTTTGAAACAAATGCAATAGATTTTAAATCGTCTCTGCAAAGAAGTCAGGTTTTACATTTAATGAAGCAGATGTATATTCGAATGAAAACTTCAAAGCTATTGCATGGTTAGATAATGACGATTGCTTTAAGAAAATATTTAAATCAGTGACTCAACGATGTCAATAGATGACCTTCGTGGAATGTTACCATCGACGTTTACAGTAGAAGGTTCAGCAGGATTGCTTACAAGATTGTCAATTGGTGGTATTTGGTCTCGTGAGAACATTGTTATAAAATCCAGTATAAGTGAATTTGCTGAAGAATCTATATTATGTCTTTCAAACTACATGTATTCGCCGCCGAAGCATTATAGTATAACAAACTTTGTCAGTAAGTTTAACATAAGACTTGTCGAACCTTCTTCAATGAAAGATGTTGTGCTACCTAAAGATGGAAAGGATGGACTCATTATTGAGATGATTTTAATTGCATATTAAATGAGCTTGTTCTTGAAGGTCATTCATGATGAAATAACTGTTGTAGAAGATGTTAGCAATTGTTCAGACATTTTGAAGCGTATAGATGAGATAAGAAAGAAGTTTATGAATGAGAATGTTTATGTTTCATTGACTTTCTCCAGTAAAGAGAACTTTTATGAGATAATATTGAAGAGAGATGATTTTAATATGGTGTAAATGGTAGCTTGGGCAGCTTTAGGCGCAATGGGAACAAAAGCATTAGCATTTGGAGCAAAAGCACTTGGGGCTTATGACGCAGTAAATAAAATGAGTGGAGGAAGAGTTTCGAAGACATTAGATGCAAATAAAGGAAAGATTGGAGGCTGGGTTGCAAAGAAGTTAAGATTAAATAAAATAGGGCTCATAAATAAAGCATCCAATTTGGTTGCGACTGAGTCAGAAAATGCTTTAGGAAAGGACGATGAGTTTGCAAAACATGCAAAAGACTTTAATGACCAGATGAAAGGTGAAACAATGCATTTAAATAGAGTCGATGGAACTAAAGAAAATGTTTCTTCTCCACCAGTAGTTCTTCCGTATGGTCCCTATGGAATGTATGGAAACCCTTACGAAAGACCATTTGACCCATTGACTGGTGGAAGTAACTGGTATCATTACGGACGAAGAAGAAAGACAGTTAAGCTGGAGACAGACGTGAAGAAAGCAACTAAAAAGAAACCAAGGAAGAGAGTTATAAAGCAATGAATTCAACGGGTGAAAAAAGAGGTGAAAAAAGAGGTGAGATGTCACCACTTCACCTAAATTTATTTTTGTGCTATGTTTTCATACGTGTGAGGGTGGTGATATCATTAATTTTTAAGTTTATTTTTTATTTACTGAAAATTTTTATTTGGATGTAAATGACGAAAACTATTGAGATAACAAACTACAACGGTCATGAGTTCAAGAATTTGTTCTTCGTTCCTCGTGAAAATACATTCTATCAGATACGAGGGAGAAAGGGTAAAGTTAGTTTGAGCGTTTATGAAGGAATGAAGAATGGAAAGTTTATACAAGCATACGATACAAACGGTAAACGTGTTTCATTAGCTTTGTCAAAACTTACTAACATTCATTTTGACAGTGATTTTGACCTATATGAAGAAGAAAGTGAGTCAGAAGATTATGAGCTGTTATGTGAAGCACAGCAATGGGAGGAGTTGCAATACTTTTGTAAGTGAGAACGTTTATTTTTTACATTAGTGAAGTCGTTTGTGAAAACGTTTATTTTTTCATTAGTGAGGTGAAGTGGTTGGCGGCTTTATAAATATTTAAGGTTAAGTTGGTGTTTGTGTTTGTGTTGTAAAATATACATTAACGGTTTCGTAAAGTGTCAAAACCGCTAAGTTGTGTACGGAGGCGCGCAGTGCCACAGTACACGACTTAGGGATACTAACTGGGGAATGTAAATTTTTTTACTGAGATGAAATGAACAATACAGCATTGAGACAAATGGGTTCAAGATGGATTTGTCGGCTTCCAGCAGTTACACAACGTGTTTGTCAAGTTCTTCCTATACCTCAGGAAGTTTTAGACCGACTTAAAAAACCTCAACAACCAGTTGAAAACAAACCAAACTAAAATTTTTTACTGAGATGAAATGACCGAAGAAGTTGAAACGGTAGATTTGACACCACAAACAAAAAGTTCAGAACCATTGTCAAAACCTGTCAAAGAACTTACAGATGAAGAGAAAAATTCAATAATAGAAAGTGCCAGGTCTGGAAATACAAACCCTAACTACAAAGTCACTTTTCATAAAAATGGAACGGCAAGTATCTCAAAAAAGAAACAGACTCTCACAAATAAAATATTGAAGTCTGAAGGAGCTTTCGAGACAACAGATGGAAAAGTTTACTTCACTGACCAACAGTTCATTATAGAACATCTCATTGACTTAGAGTCGAAATATTCTAAACTTTACAACAAACACAAAAAGTTGAAAGGAAAACAAAAACAAATGGCATATATGATTTATGAAGATGTTGACGACACAACTGTTCCTGCAAGTGAAGTAAAAGTCAGAGGAACCGAAAAGTGACGAAAAACCGATAGAAGAAGAAAAACCAAAAACTGAAGATAAACCAAAACCAAAGTTTAGTTTCCAAACTAAACCAGTCAACCTTCATTAGCTGGTATGGTTGGCGTCAAAGACTTATGGCAGCAGGCGGTTATGTAAGTAAAGAAAAAAAATATTTTTTTTTATTTTTATAAAAATGCCCCCATATAGAATGGATAGAAAATCTGCTAGAATAAAAGCAGAGTTGCAAAGATATGGTTGGAGAGTTTCGAAGAAGTTTAAATATAGGAAGGGAAGACCCATAAAAGTCTATGACAAATTGTCTGGTCTTCGCTACGAAATGGATTTGGAAACAGCACGTGCAAATTATCCAAACAGACTAGAGAGGTTAGAAGAAGAACGTCTTATGGACATGCCTTTCGATGTTAGTGAACCTCAAGTTGAAGGACACGACGGCTTTGCCAGATTCTACTGGAAACATGACGAACAATTGCATCCTTTGAGAAGGAAAAAAGGAAAAGGTGAAGACACACATGCTCCCATGGAAAGAACAAGATATGCATATGAAAAGTATCGTGAAGTTAGAAGTCAAATTACATCTGGTCGAACCTTTACAGTAAACTTTGACGAAGGAAAGAACAAAGAAGGCTTCATGGGAGTACTTGCTGCAATTCAAGACGGAAATAAGAAAGGACACAATCTCAGATTGACCATAACAGATTTGGATGGTCACATTTACTATGCACATGGCAATGTCACAACAGCCGCACAACTTCTTGACGCTTTCAAGACTACAAAGAGAGAACAAATGGTTGACTCCGACTCAGACATTTTGAATGCAATTGAAGGAATTGCAAGTGTCAAGTTCGAATGGTACCAACCTAACCCTCAAGCAGTCAGACAACATGCTGGATACTTCCCCTTCAGAAATAAGTCTGACATTGACTTGACAAGGTATGGAATTTACAATTCAATTGAAACAATTGTCAATGAACCTTGTATTCTTACATGTCTCAGGAACTCTGGTCTTGTTACAGATGAGAAAATGAAGTATCTTGAGTCATGTGTGAAGACAAGGTACATGCTCAGAGGTCAATTGGCAAAAATTGCACCGTTGGCAAATGTGAATATCCGAGTCAACATACCTACAGCTAAAGGTTCTTCACATGACGACTATGTTGTTGACAAAGACTTACCATGGTTGAAGATTGTACTTGTCCACAACCACTTCATGTTGAACGAAAGTCTTACAAACCCATTGTTCGGAAAAGGCAAGTGCAACATTGTCAGAGCTGTTAACATTCTTTTCGAGAAAGGTTTGTTGGAACCAATTCCAGATGACAAGCTGACAGAAAGTTTTGTACCAAAAGACGAAACAAACTTTTCATTGTTAGCAAGACCAAAAGTTGTTCCAGACAAAGTTATAGTACAAAAGAAGTACACAGTTCCACAAGGAGTTGGATTGTTCGGATACCAACCTGAACCAAAAGAACTTCCAATGAGGTTGCAAGAACTTCAAGATGCTATAAACAAACTTCCATTGAGACATCCAATTGACGTCAAATTGTATTGGAGAGCATCTGAGTTAGGTCAGAAGGTTTTATATGAAACAGGTTGCTTCGACGATGTTTATGAGATAACAGGAGAAGTTTCTCAGAAGATAAGAGACTCACTTGAATTTCCACAAACTGGACCGATTGGATGCGACAAGTTCGACTCAGATGAAAAAATATACTATGTCGACCTTAACGCTGCGTACATGAGGTTTGTCCAATATATTCCGACTGGAATTCCAAACGAAGATGGTGAGTTCCCGGGAAGGAACTATACAGTTGGAAAAGTCATACAACAACTGTATGATATTAGGAAAGCTTCAAACCCCAAACTTGCAATGACACTCAAATTGCTTATGAATTCGACATGGGGATATTCCATTAAGAAACCTCAAAAGATGAAGAGTAAACACTATGAGAAGGTCGACAACTTTGTTGAAGGGTTTTTTCCTTTTGTTTTGAAGTACGAGTTCACTCAAGGTCAAAGTGGCTTAGTAACCACATTAAAACCTATTGTCGAACATTGGTCTTACCCTCAGTTCGCAAAAGCAGTCCTTGACAACTACAACAAATTCTTCTCCGAAGTCAAATCCAAAGTGAAGGTTTACTATGAGAACATTGACGCACTCATGACGAACGAAGAAGGATACAACAAACTCATTGAAATGGGAATGGTCGGTGAAAAGATGGGTCAATTCAAATTGGACAAAATTTTCACCGAAGTTCATGTCCTCTCCAAGCGTAAGTACTGGGGCATACTTGAAGACGGCACAGAAATAAAACATTGCATGAAATAAAAACGTTTTTAAAACAGTATATTTTTACATATATTAAATGCTTCAGGTTGAAAAACAAAGAACAAAAGTAGCAGATACAAAACCGTTAGACTATATCTTTACAAATGCTGGTAGGAATATTTCAGATGAAGAAATTTCAGCCGGAGCTTACAGGTTTGACTATCCAATTCGTTGGCTTCAAAGTCCTTCAGATGCAAAGGCAATAGGATTTAGAAGAGTTTTGTTTTCAAATAGAACTAACGCGTTTATGTTCGCAGTATATTTTCATGGGCAGTATAAAGGTTCTGATGGTCTAATAGACAAATTTGACGAAATGAAAATCTTTACAATTCGTTCAGACGAAAGTCTTGAAAAAACTCTAAATGACTTTCAAACTCAAATAAACAAATACTACTGGGAATTTCAAGAAAAATACGACTCTTTACTAAATGGAACATACTATCTGAAACTAGAATATGACAAGATGAACTCCACCGTTTCATTTCAAAAGATTGAAATTAACCCTCCAAGAGATACAGAGTTTTTATATTGGGGAGTGGACAAACGTTCTTGGGCACAATTTCTTCGGTTACTAAACCAGAACGAACCATTACCACCAGATGGTCCATTTAAATTTATACTTCCACCAGCAGATTTGACAGTTTATAGAAACGTGTTTGACCCTCAAAATGTCATGTGTCATGCAAGTTTCAGTTCAAGCAACAACAGTTTTCTGTGTATCGGTAAGGACTTTTATGACTTTGCTTCTAAATTCTACGAACCACCTAGTAACAGTTTCTCTGACTTTCAAGTTTGGTTCACAACAAACGGTGTGCAGCATATAATACCATTGTACTATGACTTTTATCTCGAATTGTCTTTCATATACAACTAGGGAAAAGTGCTGAAAAAGTATTGAAAAATATATTTTAGGTGAAGTGGTGAGATCTCACCTCTTTTTTCACCCGTTTTCTCACCCGTTGAATTTTCATGAATTTCCTTAAGATAGAAAAAAATGAGTTAAAATGAGATGTTTACTGAACTGGTTGGATGCCGCCTTCTGAGGTTATGTAGAACGGCTGACCCGAGAAGTGGAACAAGACTTGTACTTTTTCAGAACAATGTCCGACGGTTAAGCCACAAACGAATGTCCGACGGTTAAGCCACAAACGAATGTCCGACGTCCCACCAAAAAATATATTTTAGGTGAAGTGGTGAGATCTCACCTGTTTTCTCACCTCTTTTCTCACCCGTTGAATTTTCATGAATTTCCTTAAGATAGAAAAAAAGTTTAGTTTTTTAAAAAAAATATTTTTTTATTTTTATTGTAAGAACTGAAATGACAGTCGAAGCAAAAACGTTCACGAACAAATCTAATGGCGAAACATTCACAAAAGGCACTTACAACGGTATTGAAGTCTTACGTAGAGACAAGGATGGTTATATAAATGTAACAAATATGTGTCAGCAGTTTAGGAAGGACTTTAGAAAGTTGTTGGAAAATAAGTCCTGGGAAGAGTATTTTAAGGCATTTTGTGAAGAATATACCAACCGCCGGAATTCCGGCGGTTGCTTTTTATACAAAGTTCATGCAGGAATTCCTGATGAAATCAAACAGGTTAGAGGAACGTATGTAGACCCAAGACTTGTAAACTATATAGCAATGTGGGCTTCTCCAAAATATTGTATAGCAGTTGGAAAAATTCTGGACTCCATAGACAAGAAAGTTCATGAGAAATTAGATGAAGAAGAACTTGAAGATACAGTAGAGAATGCAAAACCTTTGTTCGAACAAGAAGTTAGAAAAATGTGCGAAAAACAAATAGAACATGAACATGAGATGTGTTATGGTTATAGAGATTCTCCATACGAACTAGACCAATGGGAACAAGAAGATTTAAAGAGAGAATTTAGAGAATATGAACTCGCTAAGATAGCATTAGAAGCTGCAGAAAAGAAGTTAAAAGTTTGGGGTCGTTTTGTACAAAAATATTGTGAGTAAATGAACCATTTCTTTTTATTGAATTCGGCAAAAATATATTTTAGGGTAGATGGTTTTTAGGTGTCACTACGTCACCAGGTCCCTCGGTCCCTCGGTCCCTCGGTTAAACGAACTTCTCTGAAAAAATGAGACAACATGACATTTTGACAACAGTCCAGGAAATAAACTTCATCGTATATGTTTTGTCAAACATGAACGTAAATGTTTTGTCAAGACTTCTTCGTATATGTTTTGTCAAGACTTTCATCGTATATGTTTTGTATAAAAAGCAACCGCCGGAATTCCGGCGGTTGGTATATTCTTCACAAAATGCTTGTTTTGAGGTCGAGCCACTTTTGGCTCCACCGTATTTTTCAACCAAAACTCATGAATTTTCCCGAAATAAAAAAAAGTTAGTTTTTTAAAAAAAATATTTTTTATTTTTATTGTAAGAACATGTTAGCAACAACAGCACCAAACTCGTTAGTCATGAACCCAACTTCAATGTTAGTAGAGATGAAAAGCTTCATTCCTTCTTCATATACTTTCGAAACAGAAATCCAGAAGATAAAGCAAGAACTTCTCCAAGGAGATTTAGATTGCACTGCAAAAGATGAAACAAATGAAGAATATCTTTATGAAATGCAGGATATTATTGACCATCTACCTAAACTTCCTGAAATACAACAACAAAAGCTTACAATTCCAGAATTTGAAGAAATTGAAGTCAAAGCAACTGACTCAGTAGAAACCAAGAAGTTCATACGTAAGGTTAACTATGAGTTTCTTGGATTTCATTGCAACCACAAAGTCATGGACAAAGACTGCGATATGGTATATAAGAATGTTTCTGACATATATAAATCGGAGGAGTTTAAGACATACGACAACTTTGTTTCATTAGTTGCTGAATGTGTATGGCAGATAAGAGATAAAGATAGAAGAGGTAAAGTATGGAACGAACAGATAAAACCAGCAACTTTTGAGTTAAAGAAAACCATTGACGCCTTAGTTGTTCTAGCAGGTCAAATTTCAATGTACAATGCTAAAATGAACCCACAATGTTCTAAATGTAAAGCAGCAATGAGGAAATATAACTACTCCGTCAAAGAGATAGAACGTATGAGAAACGACTATGCAGATTTAAAGAAAGAAGCAGAGAAACCAGCAGAAGATAAAATGGACATGTTGACATTTCTAAACAAAAACTATCCAACAGCTGACGATTTCCTTCTATCTGACGTCAAGAAGAAATATAAAGAAACATTCGGCATTGTGAAAACTTTTGACATACTGACAGAAGAAATAGAAGCTACGAAATTGTTTAGGATTTCAAATATACATCGTACAATTCATGTAAAACGCTTGTGAAAAAAAGAGGTGAGAAAAGAGGTGAGAAAACAGGTGAGATCTCACCTCTTCACCTAAAATATATTTTTGCCGAGTAAAATGACCAAATTTCATGATATAACTGTATTTTTTTGACGAAGAGAACTTTTACACTTCGTAAAAAAAATCCCTGAAATCGTGAAAAAATGACCAAATTTCATGATATAACTGTATTTTTTTGACGAAGAGAACTTTTACACTTCGTAAAAAAAATCCCTGAAATCGTGAAAAAATGACCAAATTTCATGATATAACTGTATTTTTTTGACGAAGAGAACTTTTACACTTCGTAAAAAAAATCCCTGAAATCGTGAAAAAAATGACCAAATTTCATGAATTTCCTCATATGTTTGCTACCCTCGGAAAACCGAGGGTAGAGATTCCATTCGAAAATCGTAAAAATTTGCGACCCAGACTTTTTCGAGGGTCGCCAAAACTCTATGAAAATCGTAAAAAATTGCGACCCCGATTTTATTCGGGGTCACCTAAAACTCATGAAAATCGTAAAAAAACTCTATGAAAACAGTGAAAAATTGCGAGTACGTTAAAAATCTTACTCGCCTAAAACTCTATGAAAACAGTGAAAAAATGACCAAATTTCATGATATAACTGTATTTTTTTGACGAAGAGAACTTTTACACTTCGTAAAAAAATCCCTGAAATCATATCTTTTATACAAAATAGAAAAAATAAAGTTAGTTTTTTTTAAAAAAATATTTTTTTATTTTGTATGTAAAGACAGAAAATGTTAAAGGTTGAGTTTGAAACAGTTAAAAAGATAGACAATGACACCAAAGTGGTTAGAATAGGTGATTTAAACGTAAGATACTCAAAGAAATACAACAAATATTCTTTGTCAGACATTCTAACACTATCTGAAAAGAAAACATCCCACGACTGGGTTAGAAATGCTTCTACTCAGAAAATTTTGACAAGAAATCCTGAGCTTATGATATCGGTAAGATTCTATGGAACAAGAGCATATCTCATCGACAAAAGTCTTATACCAATAGTTTTGTTATGGTTAGACCCAGTTGTTGGATATAATTTCATAACATATGGTTCATTCGATACGGAACGTTGCAGTGAAGGCTTACTTTACATCGTTCAGAAACCGAAGGACTTCAATACAAAGAGATATAAGATAGGAAGAACATATAATATAACTCAAAGATATGACAGTATAGTCAATAGAGTCAAGGTTGTGTTCGTTAACGATATGAGAGCTGCAGAAACAGAACTACTTGAAAAGTTTGAGAAAATGTATGGTGCTCCCACGAAAGGTAAAGAAACGTTTGAAGTAGATGAGATCGACAAAGCTATAAAATTATTTGACGAAGTTGCTGAAAAATACATGTAAAGCGTTTATTTTTGGTCTTTTGTGAAAGTCAGAAACTAACGCTAGTTTTTTATAAAATATTTTTTTATTTTGTATGTAAAGACAGATATGACAACAACAGAGAACACAACAACTGCTATCGTTCATGAAGATATAAATGAAGAATACGAGTACATACAGTATAACAAACAGTTACGTCTCATTCGTTCGGTCAAAGATGACATGTACCAAATGCAAAGTATTTTGAATGCTCTTCGTTCTACAAAGCAAGCATACCATTGGTTTGAAAACCAACAGACAAAAGAACTTTTAGAAGAATTTCCTCATATGTTTGCTACCCTCGGAAAACCGAGGGTAGAGATTCCGTACGAAAATCGCAAGAATTTGGCTCCTGGTTTGAGAGGTTGGTATGTACATAGACTTCTTGTAAATGCTGTTGCAATGTGGGCTTCACCTCGATATGCTTGTTATATTTTCATGATGTTAGATGAAATTCATAGACAAGAACGTGAAGAGATGGAAAAGAAACTTCAAGCAAAAGATGAAGTCATTGAAGCAAAAGACAAAAACATACAGAAAAGAATACCACGTTCGGTACCAAAAGGAAAGGAAAAGAACTATAAGTATATGATTTATACTGAAGAGATGGAAAATGAAGAAGACAGAGATATGGTTATGTTGCATTTAGTCAGAAGAAACAACAAAAGCTTTTACGACCTTGCTAAGATTTACAAATCTGACAGAAATTGGTTCTATCGCGAAAACTTACCGATTTCAATGACCCCAAATGAAGATGTGAAACAAATAGTTCAAGATACGTTACCTCAAACACACTATGATATGAAAGGTTGTACAATACTTACATTCAAAGAAGATTTGCCGCTACTGAAGGAAAAGATAACAGAGTATTTCGATAACTTCAAAGAGGAAGAGTAAATGAACCATTTATTTTTGGTCTTGACTTCAGATGGCTCAGGTAGCTCTAGATGGTAAATTGGCTTGTCAAATCCTTCTGGCATTCCGAGTCCTTCCTTCTGGCATTCCGAGTCCTTCCTTCCAACTGGAAAAAAATTTCCCGACAACTGGAAAAAATTTTCCCGACAACTGGAAAAATTTTTCCTGTTGTTCGTCCGTAAACCATTCAAATTTTCGAAAATTGAGAACTTTTTGGTCGAACTTCAGAAAAAGTTTTTCCTTCCGACAGGAAAAGTTTTTCCTTCTGGCAGGAAAAGTTTTTCCTTCTGGCATTCCGAGTCCTTCCTTCCGACAGAAAAAGTTCTTCCATCCGACAGGACACAAACGAATGTCCGACGTACCACCAACCGAGTCCATTCCAAAGCCAGAAGAACCGACAGCCCCAGCACCACAACAGACTCAGACTAAAACACTTACATTTTCAAGCTTGACTTTTTACAATTTGAACTTTGTTTGCGTAGATATGAATTCTGAAAGAAGTATGAGGGTCTTGTATGACTTTGTACTTCTCCCATAGTTCATGTCTGTCAAACTTACCTGCCATGGACTCTTTCATAAGTTCCATGAAATCGTCTTCGGACAATCCGGGGAAAAGTACAATGTCAGTAAGTATTCTCTTTACATCCTTACTTAAACTCTTGGCTGTCTGTACACAAATGACAACAGAGATGTTGAAGTGTCTGAGCTTCTTAAGAATTCGACACATGTCTTGTTCTCTGTTCTTTAACAAAGGATGAGAAGCAAAGTCATCTAAGATAAGAAGACATCTATGAGGGTAAGTCTTCCAATCGTAAGATTGCAATTTCTTCGAAATGTATTCTATCTCTTTCTGTTTGTTTCTGAAGTGTTTCTTCTCTAATATTCTCTGCATTTCCTCATTTGGGTCTTTAAACTTCGAATTGACATACTCATTTATAGCATTGTACTTCAAAACTCTTCTTTGGTACTTCTTTATCCAATCTAACAACTCAGAGTCTTTTATACATACTAACTTAGACTTTTTTATAATATCTTTGAACGAATTGACGGTTTGGTCAAATTGACCCGAAGTACTACAAATGACTACTAACTCATAGAATGGGTTCTTCTCATCTAGTTCTTGTTGTTGTGCAGCCATTTTAAGATAAGTGAAAGTCTTACCAGACCCAGGTGGTGCAATTAGACCTGTTATACCATTCTGAGCAAATAAGAACTTGTCATGTATGGGTTTTATCTGAGCATTTTCCAACTTCCTCTTGTTCTTGTTTAAAACATTCTCAAATTTCTTGTCAATGTCAGCAAACTTTTTTTCTAACATATTTTTAGAAAAATTAAAAATTTTATCTTTTAGAAAATGTCTAGCGATTTCGCTATCTATATTCGAGACAAGCTTTTCGACAGCAAAACATCTGTCGACCATAAAATCTTACATAGTGTAAACAAGAAAGGGGAATTTGTTCTAAAGTTCTGTTTCTGGGAATATGACAAGAACCATAAAACATTAAGCAGAGCAGTCTTAAAATTTGTCAATGACAGACTTGTTGACAGAGATGACGCCTCTTGGAGAGATGAAGTCCAACAAAACTTCTTAGAATGCAAAGAAGACACATGCGCTGTTCTTGAAGATGAAATAGAAAACAGAATAGAAGAGCTATTAAAGGACAAAGAACTTTTACAAAAATATGGTTCTGAGAAGTTTGACATAACTCCACCAGAAAAGAAGAAGAGAGAAAAGAAAGAAAAGAAAGTAGAAGAAGAGAAGAAAGAACCAGAGCCAGAGAAAAAGAAATTTGACATGTAAAAATAAAATTTTATTTTTAGAACATTTCTGGGTCAATGTCAATGTTCTCTTCCTCTTTAGGAGCAAACACTGGCTTAGACTCTAAAATCTTTTTACCCAATTTACCTTGAACTTCTACAACTTTAGACTCATAATATTCATAGTCGTCTGCTTTCTTTGGTTCATAAGGTATAACAAGTTTGTATGCTTTGCCTTCTTTAAGGTTTGAAAACCTTCTGTCAAAACTTTCTTTGACTGTTAACAAACCTTCTATGTCTAAGTCTTCAAATTTCGCACCATTTTTAGTCACAATAGCAAACTTAACTGGTTCGATGTTCCAAACTTTGTCAAATGTAGACTTTTCAAAATGGTAGAAGTAAACATTCAAATATGTGAATGGGTCTAGTTCTTCTTTAAGTCCTGACATGTACTTGTTGACTGAGATGAATTTCGTCATCTTTTCTATCGGATAAAAAAATATTTTTTTTTAAAATTTACTCAGAAAAATTTTTCTTTGTATATACACCATTCTGAACATCTAAAAGACTTTTGACATTTGCCAAGAATGTTCGTTTAGACGCTGTCATATAACCATACTCTTGGCAATATTGTTTATATGAATCGTACAATGACCTTTCATCTAAACACTCAAAGTCAGTTTCATCTATGAACAGTTCATATACACTCTTGTTTGCTTCTAACAATGTTTGTCTCTCTTCGGTATGTGGAATTTGTCTTGGATTGAACTTTGAAATATCGAATGTCATGAAATATGAGAACAAGTGGTTGTAAAAGTCAGATGTCAAAGTTTCTGCTAAGTCGTCAAAATATTCTGTATCTTGCATATGAGAATCTGACGTTCTGACAACTACATATCTTCTGTCAGAACTTTCTAACTTCATCGGAACGGCATTGTTTGAAACCATGACGAAGTTTGCAACATTTTCACAAACTCTTTGGTCTTTATATTTTCTTTCAACAACTCCAACTTTGTCTGTTATAAGACTCTTCAAAGCATCTGAGTTCAAAACTTTTGTTGTATCTATACTTTGAAGTTCGTTACATACTATAAGTTTCATATTCTCTATTGAAGAGTTAAATTTACCGCAGATGTTTTCTAAGTTTGTCATATTCGGGTTCGAATAGCCCTCTAACAGTTTGCATAAGATATCTGTAAAGAAAGTGTTCTTACCTGTTCCTTGTTTTCCAATTATGATGAGAGCAGTTTCATTTTTAGCACTTGGATGTTGTAAGATGTTTGCAAACCAACATAAGATATACTCATAGACTCTTTCGTTTCCATTGCATATAATTTCTTTGACATGGTCTAACCAAGCTTCTATAACATTTTCTTTCCATTCTACTTGTTCGTATTTATATCCAGTGAAGATAGAATAGAAGTTTGGAGAAGGTGTATAGAACTTTATACCACGAACTGAAAAATCTTCAAGTTTTGACAATAAGATATCCCAAGCATCTAACATCTTCATACCAACTTGTACGACTTTTATTTTCTTAAGTTTCTGTTTACATTCTTGTTCTGAAACTATTGTCGCTCTTGGTTTGTTAAAGACAACATCCCATTCTTTCATGACATAACATTCTGGGGCAGAGTCGACATAAATGACTAAACGTTTCAAATTCTCGACTGCTTTGTTATAGTCTCGAAATGGACACATATTTCTGAACGCTTGGAAGTCATAAAAATCTGAAACGTCTATTCTGTACATTTTTATAAAAATAAAAAAAAATATTTTTTTATTCTTGAGCTATTTGTTGCATTTGTTCCATTTGTTCCATTTGTTGTTCTTGAGCTATTTGTTGTTGAAGTTGTTCTTGTAGTACAATACTTTCACCAGTTGCATCTTCCAATTCGAAACTTTCTGCCGTCATTGACAAATACATAGGACATAAAAGTTTTACAGGAACAAAGTTTGCGTCAACTAAGGTTAAGTTTATGTTTGCTAAAGTGTTTGAGTTTACTAAAGCTGAAAACTCTGCATTCGAATGAACAATAGGCAAACCAGCAGAGAATGTGTTGTTTATACGCATGAGTATCTTTTGGTCATAGTAGTTTCTGTCGACATTCGAATAGCACTTTGAACCTAAGTTTGAAACAATATATAAAATAGGTGTACTTAAAGTCAATGGAACAGACAAACCTTGTATGACACCTTTTCCTGTTATAGGAAACTGTTGGTAGTAAAAACCAGATATAAGTTTTGTATTATAGCTCATATCGTTTATAGTAAACTCAGTCGGACATCCAAACATAATGAAACCTGCTCTAGTTGCAGCACATGTTACACCCGTCCTTAAAGTATTAAATAAGTCAACAAAACCTGTTGGTGGTATATCTGAGTAAGTATCTTCAAAGGAGTATTTTTTACCATTCACAACAACAAAGTCTTCTGGTGTCAAAAGAGCAAAACAGGCTTTAGTCGTCATCGTGTTTAAAGTTAGTTTACAATATCGTCCTTGAGGACTTTGTAAGTTTGTTGTTATAGAATTATATGACTCAGGGTTTTTAGTCGTAATAGTATAAACCACTATGTCTTCTGCCATTTACATATATTTAAAAGTTTTTCTGAAAGTGGAGAAGAACTTCATCTAAACTTTCACATGGCGTTTCTTGAAGTTCTCTGTCTAAGAAGTTCAAATATTTTGTAAAGACATAGAACTTTCCTTTGTCTACACGAACAAACAAAACAGGGTCTTTCATATCGTTCAAAAGTGTGTAAAGTCCTTTACATGAAATAAAGTCTATATTGTTTTTCTTCAAACATCTTTCAAGAAGTTTTGACATTTTTACTTAGCAAGTAAATTTTAATGAAATGTTGTGGTCGTCAAATATTTTTATACGTCTGGGAAACTATATTTTAAGTTCAACGTTTCACCTCCTTTCATAACGTATATCTTGTCAATGACATTATATGAAACACCACAGCAAGCAATGTCGGGTTCTATTTCTTTGATGTTTATATCGTCTGCCTCTGTCAAAAGTTTCAATAGTTCTTTCAAAACTTCATGAGGTGCAATGACATATGAGTTCACTTTTACAGGGTTGTGTTCGACCAAGTTTAACATTATACCTAAAGCTTGACAAATCTTCTCCTGAGTTTTAAGTTTGTCTTTAAGTTGTTGGTAGTCGTTTCGAATATCTGCAACAGAACTTAAGTCTCTGCTAACTTCAGGATATGTT